CCCCGGCTGGGGCCCCAAATATTCAGATTGTCTCTGGCTGGAGACACTGCGGGATATGGCATCGAACCGAAGTCAGTGGCGCGAATGAATCCTCACTTGTCTGCAATCCCAAAAATAAACAAAAAGAATAAAAAACCTCCAAATAGCGTGCAGTAAACAAACAAACAAAACTTTGACACCCCGAAGTTGATTGTTTTATTATCCCCGTTTTTGTACCTATATTTTTCGTTCACCGATGATTATTTGGCGCCTTATCTGTAAAGATTGGTGTTAAATATATATATATATACACATACACACATGCATACACATACACACACATAAACAAATACACACAAACACACAAAGCAACCACGCATGCATCACCTTCGTCAAGATTCGCGGACGAAACAGTAACATTTCTCTGATACACTACTGCGTCCAGTCTTCTCCCCTTGATTTGATTTTGACCGAAAAACAAATATCTCCCAGGTGAACGTTACACACCTTCAAATCTCTAGCTTCACTTCCCATTCTCTTTTCTACCTTTAGCCACAAAAACAATATATTGACATTTTTACTGATGAGTTTCAGCCGATATGAATGAATCTCTGAAGTGCTTCTGGTAATTCTTACTTTTACGTCTAATATCGAACACACAACAGTGGTCACCGTCGGCATTCTCGATCTCTTATCTTCTATCTCTTTAGACACTACTTTGCGATGGAACCCAACTACAGTGTTCCTATCTGGAGAGATTTCAAGCTTCAAAATCAAGAACGGTTGACACATTGTTCTGCTACTTTGTCTTTGAAGTGCGAAACCGAACATTTTGCCTCGGTTGACTATCTGAGCTAGCTAACAGACTTCCTCACGCAGATCCCTGTTGGAACTGGTGACCAAAACCATATCCACTCAATCGCATTCTCACCTTGGCCTATTCTCTTTTTCCATCTCCTTCTCTCCGTTGGGCCGTTGGGCAGATCGCTGTTCTACTGATTCTTATTCTATCAAATTAACTCATTTCGATCCTCCACCCAACTTGGGACACGCATTTTGGCACTACAAATGGGACAATGATTTCCTAACTTCCTAGCACTTTCTCTCTCTCTCACACACACACAAGACAATTCCAAACCAACCCACGAGATTCGATTATCCTGAACCGTTTGACAGTAAAATTCCGAGTTTTCAACCTTTGATTCGGAAATTTCCTGTCAGCTGTTGTATTGTTCACCACCAGAATGAACAGAGCGCCAGGTTGATTATCCCATTAATCTGTTCAACCCAGGGATGGGACAACGGGACCGGAGGTCGTGAAGCTAAACGTGCATCAATGAGGATTACAATTTATCCCGTGGTTGTTTGTTAAGAAAGGAATGAAAACAATCATAAATATCGGTGATTCAATGCTTGTAGTCTACGTATTGGTTTTCTTTTCTCGCGCGCGGAACCTCTGTGGCACAGACATGAGGAAAAGTTATTGACCAATTCAGTTGCATGTGCATAATGAGGAGACTTATGTAAAAACCAAAGGAGAGAACGATGGAGAAGGACAAGAAAAGTGTTATCTATAAAAACAAACTACAGGAACTGCCAAAACCACTATATCGGACAAACTGGAAGAAAAACTGTCAACAAGGATTCGTGAACATCAATCGGCAGTCAGGAGACATGACCCACTATCGTTGATTTCCCTCCAGAAAAATCAAGAAGGACTTCGAATGAGTGAAAACTATCTACCAAACCCGGTCAAAGCAGGCCAGAGAATTTATCGAGGTTTGACACTCCCTCTTCCATGAACACAATAAACCGGCACATCGAGCCGGATCACGTGTACACGCCAATGCAACTCAAGGACCAAATGACTCAACAAAAGCGGTCACGCTGTGACCTGAGAACGGACCGTGAACCGAATCAAACACGATGAGTACAAGGGACAAAATTAGTCAGTGGAGAAGAACACATACACGAACGAATACAAGCAGAACACTGCCACATCACAAGCACTAATGATGTCACATCGGCTGGTGTGATTAAACTTTTGCAAACAAATTGTCAAGCTCGGCGAACAGGCGAAATGGAATTCAGTTCACCCGAGCTACGAGAACCGATTTTCAGTACTTTGTCAATAATGAATAGCATTTGAATTGGTAGAAAAGTTTTAGCTTTCACAACCATTAACCATGCACTTTCGTGCACCGGTTTTGTTTGCTGTCTGTTGACTGCCCATTTGGATAAAAGAACAGAATGAAGATCGGAATTTTTATAGCAGAGTCAAGGGAAGACAGCGAATTCATATAGACTGTGTTTGCAAGAATAATGAGTAACTGCACGAGTGCTACTGTTTGCGCTACCCGGCCCTATCAGTCAGTATCTCTAACAACTGGTTACCATGCTCTCAGGGTCCCCATCCAGGAAGCCTAACGGGACTTGTGACTCAGTGTCCTGGTTAGGGTTTTCATACTTTCATGGGTTTGAACATCCCTTTCGTTTTCACCCAACACCTGCCTCGGTAAACGTCGCGCACAATCTATTTGGTGACATACGTAACACACTCCAAAGCCCGTATTCTATGGAAATTGACCATTTGCTCCAGTGAACGACCGCGATTACTTAAAACTCTGCGCCTAACCTGAGCATAGCTTGTCCGGTTTCCACACCAGACTCGTGCAATGCGACGTAAACAGCGGTGTTCCAACACCGACAATCTGACCATAATATGGTGTAGAGGTATGACATCCAACAGTCCCTTAAGGGAAAGGTGTACCTCGCCACGATTCGTATCGTTCTACTTTACGGTTGCGAGACCTTATTCCTTCGCGTTAATGATGTCAATTGACTCTCTGTATTTGACCACCGATGCCTTCGAAGTATTGCTCGTGTCTGATGGAAATATTGGGTGAGCAATGACGAGGTTTGTCGTCGTGTATTGGGAGTAGATAGTCGATCTCTAACAGAAGTAATTGCTCTACACCGCCTCCGATGGCTCGGACACATACTGCGTATGCTTGTCCATCGACTATTTTTCCGTGCTCTGTTCGCACGTGCCGGGCCAGGCTGGAACAAGCGCCGCGGCTGTCAGACCATATTATGGCGTAGAACCTTCGGTCGGTGTAGCCCGCCTTCCAGGTTGGGGCCCAAGGGATGAGTGAGGACTGTCGTTGGTTAGAGGACGCCCGTAGAGATATGGCGCAGAATGGAAGTCAGTGGCACGAATGCTCTATGTACGGTCTGCTTGTCGAAATCCAATACCTCGTAAAAAATAACAAACAACACAAAAATATCAAAAGGTGTACGGTAAAACACAAAAGCATTTTATTATCTCAGTTGTCTACCATCTTCTCGTGTTAAGCGGTTTCACCTTCTTTCCACTTTGTTCTTTATTTCAATCTACCTGCCCCCTATTAATGTTATCGTTATTATTGTTGTGACGTTGGCACTGTGCTTGTCTACAAGCCCGTGTTAAATATATAAATATATATCTATATACTGTTTTGGTAATGATCTAGTACCTGCATTATATGGGAGAACTGGTCGAACTGCCGTGGTGTACACTCGCCCTTCACAGACAACCGGATTTCGCGGAGGTACCACAGCTGTCTCAAATTCACAAATGCCAATCGAGGCTACTGTATGCGTACCAATGTTTCATACGTAATGAGTTCGCCAGGTGAAATATAGCTCCCCAGATAGCAAAATTTGTCTACTTCCTCTACTACTTCCCCATTCAGGGTGAGGTTTGAGGGCTGGGCCAACCCAATCTTGCAGTGACATTCTACATTGAAGGTGCATAACGTATACCCAATATGGCTACACTAACACTCAAACTATCCAGAAAAGCTTGCAACTTACCTGCATCCTCACTTAGTAGCACAATGTCGTCTGCATACTCTGGATCAGATAGTATGCCACTTGGGAGCAAATCGGCGCCGCTATCTTCGCACGAGGATAGAGCTGTTTCAATGATTAAATCTCTGGCAAAGTCAAACAGAAATGGACAGAGGGCAACCCTTACGAACAGCACTTACTGTGGTGCAGTCAGGCCAAAATGTACCGTAAGCTCGGCCTCGGCCTCGGGTATTGGCATAAAGGGATTGTAATAAACTTTTCGAGTATACCCTTCAAAACGAGGTAGCGGCAGAATATAAAGCGGTCGATTGAGTCGAGAGCCACTTTAAGGTCGTGGAAGATGAAACTGGATGGAGCTGGTGTGTCTACGAAAGTAAGGGCTCTAAATGACATCAGTTAAACTTTTATTTATTGAACAAGTGTTTCAAATCTTTTCGGGTTTGATGGTATCTCATCTTCATTGAACTCCTTCTCCAACTAGGAATTGTTTGAATTTCATCGTCTACTTCAACTTCATCGATACACTATTGCACCCCATGGATCGGATGCATTACACCCGCTTCTGAACGCCTTGGGTCCTGCTCCTAAGGCTTACCAAGACCCACAGATTGACACGGCAGCTGATCAGACCGATCAAAATGTGCTCACGACGAACGACGACAAATCCCTTGTAACCGGTCATAACCGAACTAGTTTCATCGCACACAATGAAACGGTTCAATCGATCGAGAAGGGAAAATCGCGTTCGTCCACCGAACACTCGGTAAGTTGATCGTGGGCAAAAGCAACGACTTGAAACATCGAGTCCCGTTTATCCATTTCATCAATACAAAAAGAAGACAATACTTGCGAGATGTAAATATTTTGTTTCCTTCTCTTAATCGCTGACTCAGAACAAACAGACACATATTGCGTATAATGTTGTTCAATTATGGTAAATGAACGTGTACAAGCATGCAAAGATTGATAACTAAATATAGAAGTGGAAGTGGAGAAATTTCATCAAAACTTCTGCATATAAAGTCGGGTGATGTAATCCAATAAGCAGCACTTCACTGATTGCCAAAAGTTAAGCATTACGAATACGTAATAGTGGTTTGAAAGACAAATTTGGGCCAACTGTGTGTTTTGATGTCAGGATATGTTTTGCAAGAGATGCCCCTGGTTTTCTTGTGATCACTTGATCATCAATTATTGGTTGCGTCATTGATTTCACCAATCACTTCATCCACGGTGAAAGCTGACCGTATGTATGCGTCACCGCAATTGCAGGTGAACGGGTATACAGTGTGTGTGAGACGGAACCGGTTTGCCAACCAAGTTTACGTTTGTCCAAATCAATTCCACGAGTGGAGGCAATGAGCCTGAGTTAAGCAGGTGGGAATGTACGGTCTGCAGCTGACCACAACTAACTGTGCATACCATTGTAAATTTGGTCACTTTGGAATGCAAGCTTTAAGCAGATGGCTTTGTTTCTAACGTTTTCGGTTGGGTTGCCTTTTGGCAAAGCCTTACTGGAAATATCTACAAATCCTTCTGGGTCAACGTTATTTAGCAATGATCTCCTCAGGAAATCCTCTTCTTCCTTTAGTGTCTGGATAACAAATGTTTCTCCCCGATGAAATAGGGTTCTCACAAGCCCACAATTGTAAAAC